TGATAATTGTCCAAGATTCATTATCTAAAATCAATTTTATTTTCGAAAAGCCGTTTGTAGAAGCGATAGGTTCAGTGAAAATGGAATCGAAAGTCGTTTCAATTAATGCTTATTGCAGTTTAAACCGAATGACAAATTTTTCTCCGCGGCTTTCATTACAGTGTAACCCGGATATAAGAGACCCGGATATAAGAGACCCTGATATAAGAGAAACCCGGATATAAGAGAGATATTCTCTGGTCCCAAATTAGAGCCTGTGTTAATGTATATAAAATAGACCAAACCCGGATATAAGAGAAACCCGGATATAAGATACTTCTTCTCCGGTCCCGACAACTCTCTTATATCCGGGTTACATATAATTTCGAAATTTTTAAGATGAGAATTTATCATTATTGTGCGCCTTTATCGATGGAAAATGTTACATTGAAATCTGGGATCGTGTCTGTTAATTCAGCCTAAAATATTAATTCAGTCCAAAATATTAATAATAAAAAAAAGAATTTATATTTAGTTAAATTCACAGAAAATTCCCCCAGAGCGAGCCCTTACATTGCACTCCAGTTGAGCTGAACTTTGCGATCGTCCAACATGTGGCCGACTCGGACGCACTATTTATAAGCGTGGGGTCTACGATTGTGCTTACCCCGATAAACAAGGCAAAAATAGATTTTTATCTGTTTTATTTTAAATTGTAAAAAAAAAAAAAATTTCCTTGTATGTAGCTCGAATATCATCCGCATTTACGAAATGTGAATAACTTTCTGAGTTTTCGTTATTTTTTCATTCTGATTTGTTGCGAAAGCCGACTGAACAAATTTTGATTTAAAATTTATAATTTCTAAAGACCGCCAAAAAATTAAATAAAAATACAAACGAACTTTGATTTAAAATTTATAATTTCTTGGGGTGAATTGATATTTGCGATAAGTAACTTTACATTATTTGGGGTAAATTAACAGAAAAGATTTGAAATCTGAATAAGCATTAAATACCGAAAACTACCTTCCAAAAATTAAATAAATTATTTATCCTTAAACTCGAAGTAAAGTTTTCACAGCCGTGCACGCCCGAAGGTTAAAGAACGAATAATTTAATCTTTTAAACGATAACTTCATAGTTATCTCCCTTTTCTTATTCTCTGTACCGTGTCCCTTTAGGAAATGGGGGCTCAGGGCGTTCCGTAACGTCTAATCCTTTTTGAGATTTGAGTAAAGTTTTTGATAAAACTAAACAAAAAAATAAAGATATAACAATAAAGGGATGTTTTTATTTTCATATTTAATGGGGCTTTCCTTTGAACTAATTTGAAACAAGGAAGGCGATAATGCCGCTAAGATACAAGGGGCTACTTGGAATGAATGCTGGTTGGTTTATTTTGTTTAGCGGCATATCAACACATTTATGGGTTATTTAAAGTCAAAATCTAAATGTTTGAGCATAATTTGATGGCTTCAACTAAATATATTTTGAACGTAATTGTATGCCTTCAACTACAGATAAAATATATTGTTGGTCAATTTACAATAAAATGTATTGTTGGTATTTCTGCTATAAATAGGTATTTTAATCTAAATGTGTATTGTTGGTTGGTTGGTTTTGTTTAGTGGCATATCAACCTCTATGGGTTATTTAATGCTGAAATCTAAATATTCAGATAATACATTTTAGGGCTTCAATTAAATATATTTTGAACGAAACTGTATGCCTTCAAGTACAGATCAAATGTATTACTACTATTTTTATATATAAAAATGTATTGCTACTATTTTTATACTGTCATTGTGTTTTGTTTTTGTTGGGGATGGGTCACTATTTTGCCCATAGATGGGACCCTAACAGGTACTACCACCCCGGGTTAAAGTGGACCTGGGGACAACACTAATTAAGAGGTGGTTCCACGCGCCTCAAAACGAGTGTGAAAGAGAAGAAAAAATACCTTCGAAGGAACCGGAAACCCAATCCTAAACAGGAAACAAGGGATAAACCTCTACTCCTGTTCAAAAAATCCGGGAAGACAGTGAACAGAACAAATGGTGAACCTATCTGATCTTTGTATTTATATCATCACGCGTACCCTAAGTTCCACTATCGATTCATAAAAGCTGCGCCCCCGTCACTTTTGCTTTCGATATGTCTTGTGAGTGTCACATTCTCTTAGCTCTCTTCCCTCATTATGGTAACTGGATTTTTAGCGATTGCTTTACTTGGTTTTCTTAGCTCGATAATGTGCGTCTGAAAAATGTCACTTTTATCGCGGTCGCCATCAATTCACGGTCTTTTGTTTCGGATCAAAGTGTAGTATCTGCCTCGGGCGAATAAAGTACATTTCATCCCCCTACTTGTGTCTCTGTCTGCGGACAAAGCAGAACTGAAAATATTACTGAGAGGTACCCGGTCTCAGGAGAAACAGCTGCACGCGGCAGTATCTCCCTTATTGTGCTAAAGAGTGGGGGGGGTCAGTAATATACCGATATCAATGCAACCGGCTGTTGCGGTGGCTGGACTATTATTAGACCAGACCCTGGCCCCCATCGTGCACCCCACCTGAGCTTGTGCCAGCGTGGGGTGCCAAAAAAATATAATCGCCTCTGAGATTTTTGACTCAGGTCAAAATGTAGTATCTGTTCCTATCAGCTTAATCTGATTTTCTCTCTCTCTCTCTCTTTCTCTTCATTTGTATATTCCCTTCTCTCTTTTTTCTTTCATTTTCTCAATGAAACCAAATAGTGTCTTTTGTTCTCTTTGCAGGCAATCAAAACGGAAAATTCCATTAATTATGAGGTATTGGCAGGACGTAACGGTCGTGCAAACTAACGAAGAGCGTGGGAGAAGCACAGTAATAATAATAATAATAATAATAATAATAATAATAAATAAATGCACTTATTTCATAATAGTAGTTTGTCGTTTATTTCCGGTTTAGGATTGGATTTCCGGTTCCTTCTAAAGCCTAATTACACTCTGTACATCTGACGTCTCCGACGGAGATATGAAATTTTCTTCAGTAATTATTTTTTTTCTCTTCCAATAGGAGTAGATAGGTTCGCCTATCGTCCGGTTCACACTCCTTCTTGAAGCATTCGCTGCTTAAGAAAGTTGAGGAATCTTTGCTGCATGTTTTTCAGATATTTTTACCATTTTTCTCTTCGAGAAGTCTGCATACACCCATGGCATTGTCTTTGGCTTGTTCTTCCAGCTTTATTTGCATCATCTAAAAGACCTCTTTCTGCCTTCCAACAGCATGGCTGATGCTAACCTCCAAAGGGAGTGACACGTTGCACCTTTTCGGGCTAGTGTTATCTGCTGACATGAAGTGGAAAGATTATGTCGAATCATTTGTTAGGTCTGCTGCCAGGAAAGTTGGTTCATAGTATCGTGCTAGACAATTTATTTTTCCAAAATCTATCTTAAAGATTTATAAATTGTCCTTTTATCCGTCTATTTAATATTGCTGCCATATCTGGTTTGGTGCTTCTGCTCTTGATGGAATCCAAAGAAGAATCTGCAATGTTATTGGTCTTGACCTTGCATCTCGCTTTCAGTCAATTTATCCCCACCGTAATGTAGCTTCTCTGTACCTTTTCTATAAATACTTTCATGGTAATTATTCTGACGAACTTTCGTCTATGATACCTAGACTTAATTAATTTAAGCGCAGTACTAGATTGGCGGTAAGGTCTCACCCTTTTGACAGTTGCATTGGCTAGATATAAACGTAAGTACTATGCTAACAGATTCTTTATTGGCAATTCTCGCTCGTGGAACTATCTGTAGTTTGAAAAAAAAAAATTTACCTCATGGACGTCTTTACGTAAAAAGAGTCTCGTGGGGAAGCCATATAGTTTTTATGCTGACAAATTAACGCAAAATCACGGTGACCACGAGATTTGAGAAAATATAAATATGTAGTGTACGAAAGACGGGGGTGGGGACGAGAACAGGAAGTCAGTCTACAAACGACCAGACTATATGACAAATACAACATCTACACTTTGTCACTCATGATTAGTGCCTACTAAGGAATTTAGGCCAGTCTCTCGAATTTAAACTACACTATCTTCAGGATTCTCGATTCCTGGGTAACTTCGATCTTTAAAGAATTAAATGCATCGTCAATCGTTATCTTCTGTTTTTTTAAATCCTTGTTCTTTTATCGTCTGTTTATTTTTCTTTATTTCACATACTCGCTAACACTCAGTAAAAAAGAATCGTAAAATACTCCAGTAAAATTGCCAATTCTTTATTTAGACTTGAATCATAAAGAAAGAACACTCGTATCTTTGGAAAAAAAAAACGTTTATTTCGTAAATCTCCAGTGAAACATCAATTGATAATAACTGTCGTTTACAAGTTTAAGAAGAGAGAAAATTTCATTAGGAATAAAAGAAAACTTGTTGAACGTTGATTTTAATCATTTCACCTCATACAAGCAGATAATACCACTAAATCGCAAGGGATTACCGTAAAAGAGAATTAGAAGATTTTAGTGATGGAAAAAAAAATGATAAAAAAAAAAACAAACAAAAAAACAGGATGCATCAAGACAGAAGATGGCGATTGTCGTTGGAATTTTAAAAAAAATTGTAGGCGACATGGAGGCAAGAAACCAGAAAAGAGTTCCACGGGTGAGAAGTGCGAGAAAACAAACTATTAGAATAGAACGTACGGATGCATCTAGCTATTTCAACAGTAAAACGATGGGACCTAATTGCCAATCTAGTAGTAAGTTTCAATTCATGCGGCCAAGATATCAAGGAAGAGAGCTCATTAGAACAATTGCCATGAAAATATTTAACGAAAAGAGAGAGCGAAGCCACGCCGAGTCTGAAGTTGAGATGCCAGGTCAGGACCAATAAAATCATTTATCGAGAACCTCGGGATCTACAGCAGGAACACCAGACCAGATCTGGGACCAATATTCAATGTACAGAAGAAGGATAGATTTATAAACGTGTAAGACGTATTCTGACGAGAAAAAAAAATGGTCTGGCACGACATTAATTAAGAGGAGGCTTGAAGCAACAGAGACGATGTCCAGCAGACGAATTCTGAGAGTTGCTGACGGAGATCTTATCGGAGGGTCACAAACAAAAGATCCATGATGTGCTGCAGAGGTGAAGCATACCAGGAGGCCGGTCGTCAAACTATTACCAATGGGGAAGGCATCAACAGTGGTAGGGGAATCCACTCCAGAGGACCCCCGCTGCCAGAAGCAGTTTTCCTCGCATTAAAATTTGTTCGTATCGCATTCAGAGATGGAGTAAAAGAAGACAATTTCTTCGGGTCAGGGATCCATAAATAGATATAAAAAACGGAGACAAAAGAATTATAGATAGATATTAACAGACTGAACAAATAAAACAGATATATATCTATATTTTAAGACAGTTTTTATGTTTATATGTTCTTTTTATAGATACAAATATTTAAGTAAATGCTCTGTTTATAATAAACATTATTAAAGTCATTTATCGACCTGAATGTCCGAAGAACTTTTCATAGAAATTATGCGTCCTCCGACAGGAATCGAACCTGTATCCTATACGTAACCGTCATATAGCCTGACGTGCCTTAACCGATTGAACCATAGAGGAGCATTTCGGTTAGCAAGGTCGATTTTACTGTTTTTAAACTACAATTATCCATGATTTTCTCTCGCACATTCATATCTGCTAGATGCGTATCCAAATGCAAACAAATGACGTCATATATTAGGAAATGGACAATTTCCGACAATTATTTAAAGACATTTTTTTTATGTTTATACGTTCTTTTTATAGATAATTTTCGACTTTGTCCATTTCATAATGTGTGACATCATTTGTTTACATTTGATACGCATCGAGCAGATATGAATGTACGAGAGAAAATCATGGAGAATTGTAGTTTAAAAACAGCAAAATCGACCTTGCTAACCGAAACGCTCCTCTGTGGCTCAATCGGTACAGCACGTCAGGCTATATGACGGTTCCGTATTGGATACAGGTTCGATTCCGGTCGGAGGACGCATATTTTCTATGAAAATTTCTCGGACATTCAGGCTGGTAAATGTTGTTTAATACTGTTTATTATAAACAGAGCATTTACTTGAAATATTTGTATCTAACAAAAGAACGTATAAGCATAAAAAATTCCTTTTCTTTATTATCTGGGAATTGACGTAACGTCATGGGAAAGTTATCAGAATGGTTTCCCGTTGCCGTTTTCATGGTTTGGAATTAGTCAAAACAAAACTCATCATCCGAATTTTGATGAAGAGAGCGCGCAGCAGAACCAGACCAGAGATAGGACAAGAACAGTGCGGGTTCGTTAAAGACACCAGAACAAGGAATACAATATTCGGAATGTTATCAGAAAGAGCAATACAAATGCAGAAGGACGTGCACCTGTTTCATAGACTACGCAAAAGCCTTTGACAAAGCCCGCCACAAAGATCTGTTGGAACTGCACATCAACCTTGATATATTCGGGAAAGATATTAGAATAATGAAGAACTTATACTGGCAGCAAACAACATGCATGCGCATAGAGAACGAGTTCAGAGAATATACAAAAAAGGGGCGTAAGGCAAGGATGCGTCTTCTCACCGGACCTATTCTGTCTATACAGTGAGACAATTCTAAGAGAATTGGAAATCCTACCGGGATTCAACATTAGCGGCCATAATCTTAACAACATAAGATACGCAGATAACATAGCAGACACGGACAAGAAATTACAAAACCTCCTACAGAAGGTAGCAAAGGAGAGCGAGAAGAAGGGACAAAGCATAAACTACAAGAAGACAGAATGCATGGTCATCAGTAAAAGGATGAACCCGAAATGCGATTTGCAGGTCGGCGACGCTAAAATCAAGCAGGCGCGTAAGTTTAAATATCTGGAAAGCGTTTTTGACAGAGGACGGTAAGTGCGACACTGAGATCCGTAGACGTATTGGGATGGCCAAGGACGCATTCCAAAAGCTGGGCAGACTATTGCGAGACAGGAGGATTTCTTTGGTAACAAAGAAAAGAGTACTCAGCTGTTATGTGACATCTGTCCTCTTACGGCAGCGAAAGTTGGACAGTCTCCTCAAAGATGAAGAAGAGACTCGAGGCAGCGGAGATGTGGTTCTACAGAAGGATGCTGGGGATATCATCGACCGAGCGTGTGAGCAACAATGAGGTCTAGGAGAGGATTCAAACTAGTTGGAGGCTTATAATTAACATCGGGAAGAGGCAGCTGATGTTTTTCGGACACGTAATGAGAAAAAAGGGTCTGGAGAATCTGATACTCACAGGTCGAATAGAAGGAAAGAGAGACAAGGGAAATCAATGCATGACATACCTGGCGGGCTAAAACGAGTAGATGACAGAACGTGGTCTGGAGGAGGTGGCAGGTGGACGAAAATTATTGAGAGCTGCAATGGATAGGAAAAAGTGGAGAGCCATGATCACCTACGTTCCGAAGGGACACAGTGCATAAAAAGAAGAAAGAAAGATGCTAATTGAAAATTTTTTTTTTTTTTATCTCGGCGCTACCTGATAACAATAAAATTGAGAAAATCCTGAAACCTTAGAGTTTTTTTTATTGAAGTAATTCTTCACCCTGCAGAAATCCTTTCAGCATCCTCTAATATATAAAGACTTAAATATATATTGAGGGAGAGAGAGGAAGAAGGAGAGAGAGAGAGAGAAAAAAAGAAAGAGAGAAAAAAGAGAGAGAAAAAGAAGAAAGAGAGAAAGAGAAAGGGAGAGTAAAAGACGAAAGATGGATGAGAGGGAGAGTAAGGGGGGGGAGAGAAAAAGAACAGAAAGTGAGGGAGTGTTATGGGAGCTTACCCATAATAACATAATGGACTATTCCATACGTAATAAATACTGCGCCTCAAGAAGAAGCAGGGAGTTCAGTCCGAAGTCTGATTGGCTGATCGGTTGAACTCTCTGCCTTCGGGCGGGGAGGAAGGGCGGATTCTCTTTCGGGGAGGTAAACCGACCCTGAACCCGTTTATACGGGTTCAAAGGGCATATTTTTGGCCGAGCCTACGGGCTCGGAGATCCCACGTTAAACCGGCCTTGTGCCACATGATGCCCTCGTGGGGGAGAGTGACTAAATACCGTTCAGCCCGAAGTCGGGCGACCGGCTAATCGACTGATCGGTTGAACTCTCTTCCTTTGGGCTGGGAGAAACCCGAACGAGGCTATGCCGAAGGGCGCTGTCTCTTTCGGGGAGGTTTATACGGGTTCAATGGGCATACTTTTGGCCGAGCCCACGGGTTCGGAGATCCCACGTTAAACCGTCCTTCTGCCACATGATGCCCTCGTGGGGGTGTGTGTGACAAAATACCGTTCAGTGTGAAGTCTGGAGTGAGGTCCGTCAGAAGTCTGCCAGGAGTCTGTCAGTCAGTCAGAGAGAGTCAGTCAAGAGTCGAGTCAGAGGCAGTCTGAAACTGAGTCGCGTTCAGACAATTACTACTAAACCTGATTGTTCGTACTAACACTTTCTACTTCTCTGTATATATTCCTGTTTGTAATAAATCTGTGTTATTCCATATCCGTGTTCGAGTTCTTATTGGTTCTACCTTGGATTATCACCGTGGCACAAGGAACCGGACCATAACAGGGAGAATAGACGAGAAACAGAGAGAGATGGATAGAAGAAAGTTAGCGAGAGTAGAAGAGGAAAAAAGAATGAGAAGCAGAGAGTAAGACTGAAGAAAAGAAGGAGAAAATAAGGGAGAGTAAAGAAGAAAAAAATGGAGACAGAGAAAGACAGAGAAATAAAGGAGAGTAGAAGAGAGAGAAAGAGAGAGTGAAAGAAATAGAGAGAACATTGAAGGAGAGTAGAAGAAGAAAAAGAGAGAAGAAAGAGTGACAGAAAGGAAGAGAGAGAGAGAGAGAGAGAGAGTAAAAGATGAAAAGGGAATGAAGAAGAGAGAGGGGCGCAGAACGTTAAATTAGTAAAGGAAAAAATTGAACGAGAAAAAGAGAGTGAGTGAGGTAGAGAGAGAGAGAGAGAGAGAGAGAGAGAGAGAGAGAGAGAGAGAGAGTAAAGTAAGGGAATGTAAAGAAGAAGCCAGGAAAGGAGAAAAAGTGGGAGAGAAAGAGAGAAACCGAGCGTGTGAGAGAGACAGGGACTAAAGTGAAGGAGAGTAGAAGAAAAAAACTGGATAAGAGAGAGAGAGTAAGAGAGACAGAGACAGCGATAAAGAGATAGGGAGGAAAATAAAAGAAGAGAAAGAGAGGGAAATTCGATGACAAAGAGAGAGTGAGAGAAATAAAGAAAGTGAAGGGGAGTAGAAGTGGAAAACTGAAAGAGAGATTGAGATAGGCAGGGAGGAACGTGACGGGGGAATAGGAGGGAAAAACTGAATAGAGAGTGGGAGAGATAGGGAAAGAAAGTGAGGAAGAGTAGAAATGGAAAAGTGGAAGAGAAAATAAGAAAAAGTGTGTGAGAGAGATAGGGAAGAAATTGAGGGAGAGTAGAAACGGAAACTGGATAAGAAAGAAAGAAAGAAAGAAAGAAAGAAAGAAAGAAAGAAAGAAAGAAAGAATGAATTTCATTAAAAGGACGGGGACAAAAGATGATTTGAATAGAACGAAAATAAATGAAAGAAAGACAAAGAAAAGAAAGAAAGAAAGAAAGAAAGAAAGAAAGAAAGAAAGAATGAATGAATTTCATTAAAAGGACGGGGATAAAAGATGATTTGAATGGAACGAAAATAAATGAAAGAAAAACAAAGAAAAAGAAAGAAAGAAAGAAAGAATTTCATTAAAAGGACGGGGATAAAAGATGATTTGAATAGAACGAAAATAAATGAAAGAAAGACAAAGAAAAAGAAAGAAAGAATTTCATTAAAAGGACCGGGATAAAAGATGATTTTAATAGAACGAAAATAAATGAAAGAAAGACAAAGAAAAAGAAAGAAAGAAAGAATTTCATTAAAAGGACGGGGATAAAAGATGATTTGAATAGAACGAAAATAAATGAAAGAAAGACAAACATAAAGAAAAAGAAAAGATCGATGGGTGGAAAGAAAGAAAGAAAGAAAGAAAGAAAGAAAGAAAGAAAGGGCGAGTAAGTAAGAAGGATAGGGAAGAAAGTGAGGAAGAGTAGAAGAGAAAAAACGATGGGAAAGAGAGACATAGTGTGTGCAAGAGAGAGAGAGAGAGAGAGAGAGAGAGAGAGAGAGAGAGAGGAAAGGTAGAAATGTAGGGTTCCGGTTTTGAACAGTTTTCGCGTCTGCCATGATAAAATTCGGGTCTGTTTTTTGTCGCAATTTCCTTTGTTTTCCCAATTAATGTCATTTGGTTAATTAAGAAGATCTTGAAATAAAAATTCAAAAACAAAACCTCCAAAAAGTAATAAAAATACAGAAACTGACAGTAAAAATAGAAAATATGGTCGAAATCTTTTTTTTATACTTGTTGCTGTTTCTTCCCCTTTCCTTTAAAACCGAGTTTAGCAGTAAGAGCACCTGACAGACCCCTATCTGCCTTCCATCAGCATGGCTGATGCTATCCTCCAAGAAAGTGACTCGTTGCACCTTCTCGGGCTAACGTTCTCAGCTGACATAATGAGCAAAGACTATATTGAATCCATTGCTAGGTCACCTGCTAAGAAAATCAGTTCACTGTTCACTGTGCAGGGCGAGACAATTTTTCTCTTCAGAATCTATCTTGAATATCTATAAGTCTACCATACGTCCATGATTAGAATATTGCGGGCATAGATGGTATCGTGCCCCTGATATTTACCAGGAGCTCCTAGATAAAATCCAAAGAAGAATCAACAATATTATTCTTGATCTGGCCGCTTGGCTTCAGTCTCTCCCCCCCCATAAGGTTGCCTCCTTGTGTCTTTTCTATAAATACTTTCATGGTAATTGTTCGGATGAGCTCTTAGTTTATGGAGGTCAGTGATGTCAGTTCGCTGGTGGATGCGGGGCGCCTTTCATTTCGCGTGCGTGTTTTTTGTATTTGTTGTGTGTGAATGAGTGCGTGTCAGTGTGAGTGCTTGGGATGAATGAATGATTTATACTATTATAGTCCCGCATTGTTTTCGGACAGTTAACTGATATTTCTGTTACGTTTAGTGATTGTGGGGGTTGTTATTACTTATATTATTTTCTTTAGTTTCTGGTAAATAATTTTTGCTTTCATATTGTAAATACTCATTGTGGCTCGATTTTAGAATTGTTGTTTTATTCCCCTCCCCCAGAGAGAATGAATTGTGAATATGGGCACTAGTTAGTATTTTCATAGAGACAACGAGGTATTATGGGGATTGTAGTAAGAAAGGTACGTATGAATGTGTTGTTTTGGTGTAAGGAATATTGTTTGTATGATTGGGTCAGTGTTTGTGGCTAGCTAAGATATAGTTAAGACAGAAGAAGACCGTCCTTTCCCCAATCACCACTTCGGCCTTGTGCCACATTTCTGTGTATTTAACAGAATAAATATTGCTCTTAGTTTATGGTACCTAGGCTTTATGAATTTAAGCGCAATCCTTGACTGGTGGCGAGATCTCATCAATTTACAGTTGAGCTGGTTGGATGTAGCCGGAAGTTCTATGCTAACAGTTTCTTTTCTTGCACTTTTTCGCTTTTGGAACTCTCTTCCGGCTCCATGCTTTCCAACCAACTTTAATCTGCTAAAATTGAAATGCAATGTCAATCGCAATCTACTCTCTTTCTGATTGCTCTTTTCTCTTTCTACACGTTGCTAAGGTCTTGGAAAGGATGCAAACAAGGAGGAAGCTTATGCTTAACACAAGGAAGAGGCAGATGAAATTATTGGGACGCTTGATGAAGAAAGAGGGCCTGGAGAATCTGATACTCACGGGACGAATAGAGGGAAAAAGAGACAGGGGACAGCGGCGCATGGCATACTTGGCGGACTTGGATAGGTGGGAGGCGGAGTGTGGTCTGGGGGAGTTGGAAGAAACACAAAACCTGTTGAGAGCCACTGTTAACCATGTTCACCATGGACTATGAATATAGAATACAGCGCAGTACGTAATCTGTTCAATGAAACAACGTTAAAGATTAATACTCACGAGTCAGACACTCTACTGAATCTGACTATATCGCCAATACCACCAGCAGCTGTTCCGTAATTCTTCAGTCTTCGATATCAAAGGCTGCCAGTGAATATACGAAAAAAACAAAAAAACATGGCCGCCTTTATACACATCGCAATGAATATTTTGATCCTTCTGATTGGTTAACCCTTCTATTGGTAAACTATAAAATGGGTTCGCTCATTTTGGCTGGCTCACTAGTACGAGCTACCCAAAAATTCCAACAGCCCCAAGAGATAGGGGGAATTGAAGGTCCATGATCGCCTACGTCCTGAAAGGACACGGCTCATGAAAAGAAGAATGTTTATGTTCTTAATTCCTACACACCCTGTAACCCCTTACGCGTGAGTGTTTTTAATTCCAATATTAAACTTAAAAATTAGAGCACAGTTTCATTCTCAAGCGATGTTTAGAATAACTAACTGAAGAAGCTATTAATTATAATTTTAAGCTCTAATTGTGTATCGAGCACTGTTTTTTAAAAATAAAAAATAAACATAAATACTAAAGAACTTTGCATCATTAATCTAACCGTTCTTTCTTATTACATCAATACACACAGACACACACGCCCATATATATATATATATATATATATATATATACCTACTTATTCACCTGGTTCACACAAAGTAACAAGCAAACCAACATATATTGGCATATTGACTTTGAAAGCGCTACAGATAAATGCATTTATCGAAATTGGTTTAGATTCGCTGTAGTCAGTGTTTAATCATATGTGACGTATGCATATGGATAGGCTTAAGTCATATACACAGAAGAAGACAAGGATGAGCAAAAGGAAGCAGCTCTCTTTGCTTTGTGCATCTGCGTTGTCATACGGACACATATCCAAGCAAGAGCACTCTCGCATACAAGTTTGAAAACATGTGTGAGGCTTTTCTTCTTTCTAGAAATGTTTTATTGTAATTGTGTTTGTTTGTATCTTTGCTTATTTGTTTGTTTGTTCGTTCGCAACATCGATTGTGCATTTCGGTTGATGGGTTCAGTTGTGGAACACTAGTTAGAAAGAAGGAAGTGCAAAAAACAAAAACATCCCCCACCAAAATGAAAAAAAAAAAAAATGGAGAAATGCTAGAAGGAGGAGAAAAAAAAAACGTAAAAGAAACGAAAGCGAAATGAGGTCGGGTAAAGAACCAACGACGATGAAAGAGAGTCGTTTAAGGGAAGGAAAAACGAGAACAGAAAGAATAAAAGAAGGAGAAAAAAACTTTAATCAAATAAAGGAATAGAGATTAGAGAGACGAGAAGAATATAAAAGAAATCGGGTAGGATTTGGAAAAAGAGGAAAAAAAGAAAAAGAAAATGAAGGTCAGCGTGGTCGAGGAAATGAAAAAAAAAAAGGCGCAAATAGGTTGAAAAAGAAATTACGGAAAATGTAGGAAGAAGAAAAATAAAAAAGAAGCAAATAAACGCGAGAGAATTAATATCCAAAGGAAGAAACTAAAGAGGTCAAAGAAATAAAGAATGAATGAGAAAGAAAGAAAGAAAGAAAGAAAGAAAGAAAATAATGATGTCGAAAAAGAAAGAAAGGAAGAAAAATAATGATATCAAAAAAGAAAGAAAGAATGAAAGAAAATAATGATGTCTAAGAAAGAAAGAATGAAAGAAAGAAGGAAAATAATGATGTTGAAAAAGAAAGAAAGGAAGAAAAGTAATGATATCGAAAAAGAAAAAAGAATGAAAGAAAATAATGATGTCTAAGAAAGAAAAAAAGAAAGAAAGAAAATGATGATGTCAAAAAAGAAAGAAAAGAAGAAAAGTAATGATATAAAAAAGAAAGAAAGAATGAAAGAAAGAAAATAATGATGTCTAAGAAAGAAAGAAAGAAAGAAAGAAAGAATGAAAGAAAGAATAAAATAAAATGAAGAAGGCAAAATAAAATAAAAGACGACATAGAAACATAGAAAAAGAAAGGGGAAACATATAAGGGAGATAGAAAACGAAAATAAAAAAGGAAATAAACGAGAAAAATAAAAAAGAATATTGATGAAAAGCAGAAAATAGAATGGAGAAAATATAGAGATAAATAAATACAGAAGGAAAGAAAAAAACAAAAAGGAAGACGAAAAGAAAAGGAAAGAGTGACGTTTAAATAGAAAGGGAAAAGTCAACATATAAGGGAAGAAGAAAAAGAAAATGAAAGAGAGAAAGAAGTCAGAAAAGTAAATGACTAAAATAAAATAAAGTTGACTGAAGCAAAGTGTGGAGAAGAAGGAAATAGAAAAAGAAAGCATAAAAAAGATATAAAAGAAAAGGATGATGGAAACGAAAATGAAAGAAAAATGAATGAAGAAAGAGATAAAGACAAGGAAATTAAGGTGTCTGGTAAGAAGAAAAAATAAGGAAGAAATGTAAAAAATACTTAAAAATTAGCATATAAAAGTAGAAAAGGAAGGAGAAAAGGAATGTAAAAGAAAGAAAAAAGAAAGAGATAAAGAAATAGAATGAAGGTGTCGGGTAAGAAGAAAAAAGATGGAAAGAAATGAAACAGAAATACTTAAAAATTAGCATATAAGAGAAGAAAAGGAAGGAGAAAACGAATGAAAAAGAAAGAAAAAAGAAATAGATAAAGAAAAAGAATGAAGGTGTCGGTTAAGAAGAAAAAAGAAGGAAAGAAATGAAAAAGAATGAAGGAGTCGGGTAAGAAGAAAAAAGAAGGAAAGAAATGAAAAAGAATGAAGGTGTCGGGTAAGAAGAAAAAAGAAAGAAAGAAATGAAAAAGAAATACTTAAAAATTAGCAAAAAGGAAGGAAAGGAAGGAGAAAACGAATGTAAAAGAAAGAAAAAAAGAAAGAGATAAAGAAAAAGAATAAAGGTCCCGGGAAAGAAGAAAAAAGAAGGAAAGACATGAAAAAGAATGAAGGTGTCGGTTAAGAAAAAAGAAGGAAAGAAATGAAAAAGAAATACTTAAAAATTAGCAAAAAGAGAAGAAAAGGAAGGAGAAAACGAATGAAAAAGAAAGAAAACAGAAAGTGATAAAGAAAAAAAAATGAAGGTGTCGGGTGAGAAGAAAAAAGAAGGAAAGAAATGTAAAAGAAATACTTAAAAATTAGCATATAAGAGAAGAAAAGGAAGGAGAAAATGAATGTAAAAGAAAGAAAAAAGAAAGAAAGAGAAAAAGAAAAATAATGAAGGTGTCGGTTAAGAAGAAAAAAGAAACAAAGAAATGAAACAGAAATACTTAAAAATTAGCATATAAGAGAAGAAAATGAAAATGAAAATGAATCTAAAAGAAAGAAAGAAGAAAGAGATAAAGAAAAAGAATGAATGTGTCTGGCAAGAAGAAAAAAGAAGGAAAGAAATGAAAAAGAAATACTTAAAAATTAGCATATAAGAGAAGAAAAAGAAGGAGAAAACGAATGTAAAAGAAAGAAAAAAAGAAAGAAAGAGAAAAAGAAAAAGAATGAAAGTGTCGGTTAAGAAGAGAAAAGAAAGAAAGAAATGAAAAATAAATACTTAAAAATTAGCATATAAGAGAAGAAAAGGAAGGAGAAAACGAATGTAAAAGAAAGAAAAAAAGAAAGAGATAAAGAAAAAGAATAAAGGTCCCGGGAAAGAAGAAAAAAGAAAAAAGAAGGAAAGACATGAAAAAGAATGAAGGTGTCGGTTAAGAAGAAAAAAGAAGGAAAGAAATGAAAAAGAAATACTTAAAAATTAGCATATAAGAGAAGAAAGGAAAAGAGAAAACGAAAAATAAAAGAATGAAAGAAAAACACGAGAAAATATATAAAGGAAAGAAAATGAAGATAGCTGTAAACACATGAAAAAAATTCAACAGAAAATAAAAAAAAATAAAAATAAAGATACAAAAGAGAAAATAAGACAAAAATATATCATAGGATAGAGAAAGCGAAAGAAAACGCCGAATATCTGAAATTTGTTTATTATTATTATTATTATCATTTGATACCCCCCACCCACTCATCTCTTAAATGTTTCGGCCGGGTGATGATTATATCTCGGCCCCTATCTTCAGTTCAGAGACGCATCACTTTCCTCAGCATATGAGCTGTTTCAAACAGTGTTGCAGTCTGCGCATTCCCAATGCTGCCAAGTCTCCTTAATGTGTTTTGCGAAGCGGAAAGATTCCTGTAACTAGTTCCGCCAACCACAACAGAGACAACTGCAGCTTGGTATATTTCTCAGATTTGGTCTGGAAAATATACCAAGCATTTGGCACTTTTGTATTTTCGTCTACTCCAACTTCACGAGTGTTTTAATTCCAAAGTATCGCAAAGTCTATCAGGATCCGCCCATAGCTGCTCTTGTGCACCTGTGTGATATCAGGGCGATCACTTTCCAACAATTATTTTCATTATTACCGTAAATTACGGCGTATAAGTCGACCTAGCGTACAAGCCAACCTCATGATTTTTAGCTCGAAAATACCTATAACTATCGTAAAAGCCGACCTCCAAACATACGGCAGGCTACCAGTTGCCTAAAACCTAGGTGTACCAGTAAATGAAGTTACGCTGCAGTATACGATAACCTGTGCCACAACTACGTAAGGTCACAGCATTTACCTGTGTATTAAGACACTAACCGTGATATCTTTCTATATGCGCTGTATAAGAAACAACTTAAAACACGCACCGTAGCGTATCGGTATAACTTTTTTTTTTTTAAGCATTTCACCGCAAGCAAGGCGGGAAGCCACTAGGACGCAAGGGGTTACAGAAAATAGGAAAATCAGATAGGAGTGATAGAAGAAAGGATGAGGGTAGTAGATAGATTAAGGCAACTGGAGATGTCGATTGACATTACACTTGAATAGCTGGAGATTATAACTCTCAGGGAAACAGGAGAAGGGGAAGAGAGTTCCACAGGCGAGAGGTGCGAGACATGAAGCTATTAGAGTAGAAGAGACGGCTACATTTAGGAATTTCGACAGTGAAGGGGTGAGAGCGGGATGCCAGCCTCGTAGGGCGCTTGAACTCATGAAGTTAGTAAACATTTAAAATTCGTCAGGTCTGCTAAACACATTAAAGTCAATATCAATTACTATAAAGTATTAATACCTCAGGTTACACATCACACCAGGTAGATTTTTGATAGTACTGCGACGTATCGTATGTTACTATAAAACACTGTATCACTAGTTGTCTGAATGTCCACCTAAGTTAAACGGCGCTTCGGTCTGCGTTTACACTTAGTTTATCAGCTGTTGGACTTAGTGTGCGCTGTAATGGTTAGTAAGCTTCCCTCGCTAGATGAATTACGACTGAGTAGTGAGTTCGATCCTCACTGGGTGCCCCATACTTTTGGCTTTTTGCCACATCTAAGCTACGTTTAGAAAATCCTTTTCCCATATGGTGTAATGGTTAGTAAGCTTAGAAAACTGCTCGGCCCGGGGCAATGATCAAAGTGTAGTACGCTGCCTTTGTGAGCTTCCGAGTCGGCGTCTGTCGAACTCTCTGCATTGGCAGTGAGGAGCCCGGACGAGGCTTTGCCGAAGGGAAAGGTTCCGTTCGGGGAGGTGGACAGGGCCTGAATCCGTCTAGGCGGGTTCAAAAAGGCTATATTTTTGGCCGAGCCTACGGGCTCTGGGATACCCACATTAAACCGGCCTTGTGCCACATTCTATCCTCGTGGGTGGATTGATAAATACTAAGCTTAGAAAACCCCTATTCATACTGTCTTCGATTAAGGATGTTTCCAAACAGCTAGGTGGGACTCGAAGGTCGTCTTGGCTAATACAGCTTTCAAACTGGGAAAAAAAGATAACCCTCTCTAGGAAGACGGCCATTGTCCTGTTTATGAACAGCGATGAACACTTCATCAGCCTAGAGGAGACATAAGCAACTGAGTAAGGCCAAGTAATTTAAAAGCAGATCTGTAGTACATAACGATATATATAGTGTAGCCAATTGTAATTTACTAACGCAAAACATGTGTATGTTACCACCTTTAAGCAGTTAAGTTATGAGAGCCACTCCAGGTGGAGTATCAGGGTATCTATTATTATTCATCAGCTGGATTTAATTATTTTTTTCTTTATTTATTGCCACGGATTTCTTTTAAATATCCTATTCAGCCAAATCTGTAAAACAAATATCACAAATTATTTATAAAAAGTACATTTCTGTCCTGTCTCCGGGGGCCGCGAAAACGCCGATTGCGTGTCCAGAAAAAAATGGCCACATTCCGGGTGGATCCTTACAAACGGAGCAATGTTTAAATGTCTAACTTCGGACTCAACTATTAACCGAAACAAGATTTACCATCTCAGTCGGGCCAATGCTTACATTTGACTCAAGTATAAACCGAACGAATGTTTACCATTTAAATCAAGTATAAATTGAATTAATCTTTACCATTGTCTCAAATATAAAGCGAACGAGTATAAATTGAACTAATCTTTACCATCATCTCAAGTATAAACCGAATGAGTATGATCGAACTATCAACCTCTATGGTTTATTTAATGCCGAAATCTAAATATTTTGAACACAATTTTATCGCTTCAACTAAATATATACTATAAATAGGTATTGTTGGTTGGTTGATTTTGTTTAGCAGCATATCAACCTCTATGGGTTATTTTAATGCCGAAATCTAAATATTTGAACACAATTTTATGGCTTCAACTAAATATATACTATAAATATATATTGTTGGTTGGTCGATTTTGTTTAGCGGCATATCAACCTCTATGGGTTATTTAATGCCGAAGTCTAAATATTTTGAACACTATTTTATGGCTTCAACTAAATATATTTGAAACGTAATTGTAAGCCTTCAATTAGAGATAAAATGTATTGTTGGTCATTTTACTATAAAATATATTGTTGGTAATTCTAATCTAAAATATATTGTTGGTGAGTTTTCTTGAAAAATGTATTGTTGATAATTTTACTGTAAATACCTATTGTTGGTAATTGTTTTATATAAAAGGTATTGCTGGTATTTTTACTATAAAAGTGTATTTTTATACATTAGTAATGTTTAGTTGTTGTTTGGGGGTTCTCTATTTGCATGGGACCCTAACATGTGCTACAACCCCAGGTCAGAATATGGAACAACGGCTATTAAGAGGTGGTTCCACGTCCCTCAAAACCTCCAATCACCCGATCAGACGTCTCGCTGGTGTATATAAGGAAACTGGTAATATTAATGGCATCATTATGATTACTATTAAAAATTAAAATTACGATTACTATTAATAGTAAATTTGTAAAGATAGTCGAACAGATGAAAGTGCATATGCCTATATTCAACCATATAATTCGTTGCTTCTTCAAGACTAGCAAGCAGTAATTTTTTTATTTATTGAACTGTTTCCAATAAAGATTGAATAAACCAATCACGAATCTTTGATTATTCTCTGGGAAGTACCAAAATGCACACGGACAGTAAACAGCGGTCGGTCTTGTTCTTGGGATTCTATTTAAAGTGTCCGTCCACACCATCCAAAGACGACAGCCTCTTCTACGCCCAGCCGTTTCCTGTTCTTGACGCTTCCAGCTTTTGAGTACAAATAGGATAAGCACGAAATTTCCATAGGACAT